CCCCCTCTCTTCTCTCCCTCCCCCCTCTCTCTCATCTATCTATCTATCTATCTATCTATCTATCTATCTATCTATCTATCATCTATCTATCTATCTCACCCTCCCCCTCTCTCTCATCTATCTATCTATCTATCTATCTATCTATCTATCTATCTATCTATCTATCTATCTATCTATCTATCATCTCTGCATCCATGCATCCATCCATCATCTTTCCATAACCACCTAGCGTATTTATTTATCTGTTTTAGGATTTGGACTAGAAGATCTCCAATGTCCCTTCCAACTCTGTTGTTCTCTCTCTTCTTTGTCTCCCACCTCTCTTTCTCTCTCTCTCTGTTATCATCTCTCTCTCTCCCCTTTCTCTCTCATCTCCCCCTCTGCACTATTATCTCTCCCTCTCTTTTCTGTCCATCCATCCATCCCTCCATCCCTCCTTTCATCTCCTTCCTTCTGAAAGTTTGAAAAACATCGTAACCCGGAACAGATAAAACATAATTTATTCCCTCCTGATGTCGCGGTCAGAAACTCTTCCGGCAGCCGTTTTCCATGGCTAGTTTTTGCCCAAAAGAATTGTTGGCACCGTAAAAGGTGGATCAATCTCGGTTTCTGTCAGCCCGGGATGTCATTTAAGAAAGCTGGACAAAGGGGTGGCTTGCAAAAATGACCCTCGGGCACGTGTGCTTGGCATGTTTCACCCTCGTGACGTCTGTGTGCGCGTGTCAGGACATGGGAACCCAGGAGAAAACATCCCATTGGCCTTCGCGGGTGTCATCGCCAGGCGGTTGCTATGGAAACTGCCTCCTGGTCCTCCTGCCTTTTATCTCCATGGTGACAGGACTGGTTAGGGATGGCAGCTGAAGAAGGAGCAGGATAACAATGGTTGTGCGTTGCCATCTTTGTGTGCCCTTTGGGGGAAGATGGGGGTTGCATTTGGGGGGGGTTTCATGGTTTGGGGTGGACACAATTTTTTTTTGGGGGGGACGCAGCAGAAGGGATTTTGAAGGGACCCTCTGCTCCGCACCTGGTATGAGACCGATGTGAAATCAAGGTTTGCCTAATGCAGCATCCCTGCAGAGATGTCCTTGTTGCAACAGGCTCAGAATCCTGGTCATCATCAAACCTTAAAAGGTGGTTAGATTTTTTGCCTCCAAGGAACAGTGAGGCTCAGGAACTTGGTGCGTTCCTTGCAAACGTTTCGTGACCCAACTAGGGAACATCATCAGGGATAGGAGAGGGGAGGAAGGAGGAGGAGGGAGGGGGAGAACAAAGAGGGGAAGAGGAAGGGGAGGAAGGGGGGGTTCCTTGGGGCTCTCTGAGCTTGGTGGGTTTCTTGCAGACGTCTTTTGACCCAACTAGGGAATTTCATCAGTGCTAGAAGGGAGGAGGAGGACTGTGAGACTATTGGCTCTCTCTGACCTTGGTTATTATTATTATTATTTTTTTGGCTGATGTTTTGTGACCAAACTAGGGAACATCATCAGTGCCAGAAGGGAGGGGATTACAGAGGTGGAAGAGGAGGGAAAAGAGGAGGAGGAAGAGAAGGAAGAGGAAATAACTGTCACACTTGAGAAACCATCTTTTACTTACGATTTCTACTGTGGGAAAATGGGATTATACAGGGTTGGACGGTGTGTAGCCATAACAACATCCTTTCTCGGAAAGTCAAGGCCGCTTTGTCCCTGCACCTGGACAGATGTGGATGGGTGGAAGCTGCCAGCGTGGCCGTGGGAGATTGGACCATGGGATGGATTTGTGGGGGTGGGAGGGCAAGATCTTGAACTTTCAACAACTGGGTGGGGGAAACAGGGAAGCTTTCAGATACGGGTTTCCCCAGATGGGCCAACGTGGCTCCCTTAATAAATTGGGAGTTTTGAGGAACCTTCTGCCTCAGATTCTTATGTTATGGAAGATGCTATTTGGAATCCTGACAGAAAGACATAAATACAGAGAGACAGACAGATGGAAGGAAGGAAAGAAAAAATGAAAAAGGAGAAGGAAGAAAGGAAAAGAGGAAGGAAGGAAAAGGGGGGAGGTAGGAAATTGGAAGGAAGGAAAGAGGGAGGGAAAGGAAGGAGGGAGGGAGGAAAGGAAGGAAGAAAGGACAAAGGAAGGACAAAGGAAGGAAGGAAAGGAAGGACGAAGAAAGGAAGGAAAGGGAGGGAGGAAAGGAAGGAAGAAAGGATGGAAGGGAAGGAAGGAGAAGGAAGAAAAGGAAGGAGAAGGAAGGAGAAGGAAGGAAGCAAGGACAAAGGAAAGGAAGGGAAGAAAGGAAGGAAGAAAGGGAGGGAGGAAGGAAAGGAAGGAAAGGATGAAAGGAAAGATGAAAGGAAAGACAAAGGAAGGAAAGGAAGGAAGAAAAGATGAAAGGAAAGACAAAGGAAGAAAGGAAAGACAAAGGAAGAAAGGAAGGACAAAGGAAGGAAAGGAAGTAAGGAAGGACAAAGGAAGAAAGGATTAAAGGAAAGACAAAGGAAAGGAAGAAAAGAGCAGGAAGGAAAGGAAAGAAGAAAGGAAGGACAAAGGAAGGAAAGGAAAAAAGGATGAAAGGAAAGACAAAGAAAGAAAGGAAGGACAAAGGAAGGAAAGGAAGAACAAAGGAAGAAAGGATGAAAGGAAAGACAAAGGAAGGGAAGAAAGGAGGAAGGAAGAAAGGAAGAACAAAGGAAGGAAAGGAAGGAAGAAAGGATGAAAGGGAAGACAAAGGAAGAAACGAAGGACAAAGGAAGGAAAGGAAGAAAGGGGGGACAAAGGAAAGAAGAAAGGATGGAAGGAAAGGCAAAGGAAAGGAAGAAAGGAGGAGAAAGGAAAGAAGGAAGGACAAAGAAGGAAAGGAAGGAAGAAAGGATGAAAGGAAAGACAAAGGAAAGGAAGAAAAGAGCAGGAAGGAAAGGAAAGAAGAAAGGAAGGACAAAGGAAGGAAAGGGAGGAAGAAAAGATTAAAGACAGGAAGAAGGGAAGGACAAAGGAAAGGAAAAAAGAAGGAAGGAAAGAAGAAAGGATGGAAGGAAAGACAAAGGAAGAAAGGAAGAACAAAGGAAGGAAAGGAAGAACAAAGGAAGGGAGAAAGGATGAAAGGAAAGACAAAAGAAAGGAAGAAAGGAGGAGGAAGGAAGAAAGGAAGGACAAAGGAAGGAAGAAAGGATGAAAGGAAAGACAAAGGAAGAAGGGAAGGACAAAGGAAGGAAAGGAAGAAAGGAAGGACAAAGGAAGGAAGAAAGGATGAAAGACAAAGGAAAGGAAGGAAGGAGAAGGAAGGAAAGGAAGGAAGGGAGGGAGGGAGGAGAAAGGAAGGGACAGTGGGTGCCTGGTAACCCAGGTGAGCTATTGACGAGAGAAGCTGGGTGAAGTTATGGCTCAGGCTTGAGAACCTGGCAGTGGAAGATGGGTAGAGGTCAGCCCCCCAGAATCCCAGAGCCCAACAACTTTTGTTTTTTTATTTTCTCCACACTTCAAGGATTGTCTGATGCAAAATCCCCATTTTGGTTAACCGGCCGCAACGAGCCAAACATTGTCAAATCAACCCCAATTGGCTCCGGGATCTTCACAACTCGCATTACAACGGTCGTAAAAGGAGTCCACTTATCCTTGCAATTTTGCTGAGCCAGCGTGTCCCCCCCAAAAAAAGTGGATTAAAGCGGATTAAAGAGATTGAAGTCACCCAATATTTTTTTTTTAATGGGTTTCTTCCTCCGATTTCCCACATTCCAGATTTATATTCAAACTGTAAAATACGTGAATTTGAACTCGGAGCCTTTCCGCCACGAAGGCAAAACGAATAGGATAGTCCTTGACTTACGACCACAATGGAGCCCAATGTTTTTGGCTGCTAAGTGAGGCAATTGTTCAAAGTGAATTTTGTCCCAAATTAGAACTCTTTTTTTGGCCCAGTTGTTAAGTAAGTCACACGGACATTAAGCGAATTCATCACAAAACGTGACACCACCACCACCACCACCATCGTAAATACGAGTCGGTTGCCATGTGTCAGAGAATGGATCGCGAGACTACAGGCCCACTGCAACAGTTGTAAGTGTGAAACACGGACCTAACTCCCTGCGATCATCATAAATGTGAGTCAAGCATTCCAAATCCAGGGAGTCCTCAACAATAGTTTGTTTAGTGACTGTTCCAAGTTACAACGGCACTGGGAAAAGGGACCTAGGGCCGTTGTTTGCACTTAATGACTGTTGTAAATTCGGACACTTGGCAACCGGCTCCAATTTATGACGATCGCAATGCCACCCATCCTCCTACGATCTCCCCTCTTAGCGACCAAGATCAACGAACGACCTTGTGCCCCTTAAAAAAAAAACACACCTGCAATTCGCTTAACGACCATGGCAAGAAAACATCGTAAAACAGAACAAGATTCACTGGAAGAAACATCTCGCTTAGCAACCAAAATTTGCAAACTCCACAAGGGTCTTAAGAGGAGGAGGAAGAGGAGGAGGGCTATGTGTCAGCTGCCGAGCACCTCCAATTTGGTGAACGTGGTTGTTTGAGGAATGGTCCAAAGTCTCCTTTGGGGGGGGGGGGCATTGTTATTTTGGTCGCTAGGCAGATGGTCATAAGTCGAGGACGGCCCGACCCTCCCCTTCTCCTGACCCTGAGGAGACCCCACCCCCACCCCTTTTCAAAAACTCCTAAATCCAGGACGACCAGACGGAGAAGCCGATTCTGTACAAAATAATCATTTAATTCCACGCGATTTCACATTTACTCGCACTTTACACCCGGTTGCAAAGTTCTAGTCCGCTAAATCTTTGGCGAGGGCCTTCTGCATCTTGTCTTTCAGATACTGGGTCTTCTTCCACTCCGAGTTCAGGTTGAACCATTCGTGGTAAGGAACCTGGGGAGGAAAAGGAAGAAGAATCGGATTTCCAGTCTTGGAAGGGCCCTCGGAGGTCATCCAGTCCAACCCCCTGCTCCAGGGGACCCTAATCGTTTAGTGACCGAGTAACGATGTCACTGGGGGAAAAACAGACTCAGGACCGTTTTCCGCACCGATCCACGTTGAGACCCTCGGCACTGACTCGTATTTATGACGGTCGCAGGGCCCCGCGATCCCCTTTTGACGAGCCACTTCAAGGGGAATGACAGATTCACTTAATGACCTTGTGGGTGACTCACCTCGACAATGATGAAGCCGGCGGTTTGGAGGTGCCGTCGCTCCATAACGAAGCGCCCCAGAAGGTCTTTGCTACGGCTGCTGAAGTTGGGGAACTCCCAAAGGAGGAAGACCAGCCTGAAGGGAGGGAGGGAGGGAGGGAGGGAGGGAGGGAAGGAAGGAACGACAAAAAGAGAAGGAAAGAAGGGAGGAAAAAAGAAGGGAGGGAGGGAAAGAAGGAACAACAAATAGAGAAGGAAAGAAGAAAGGGAGGGAGGGAAGGAAGGAACAACAAAAAGAAGGAAAGAAGGGAGGAAAAGAGAAGGAAAGAAGGAAGGGAAGGATGGAGGAAAGGAACAACAAAAAGAAGGAAGGGAAAAGAGAAGGAAAGAAGGGAGAGAGGAAGGGAGGGAAGGAACAACAAAGGAGAAGGAAAGAAAGGGAGGGAGGGAAAGAAGGAATGACAAAAAGAAGGAAAGAAGGAAGGGAGGAAAAAAAGAAAGGAAGGGAAAAAAGGAACGACAAAAAGAGAAGGAAAGGTGGGAGGTAGGGAAAGAAGGAACGACAAAAAGGAAAGAAAGAAGAAAGGGAGGGAGGGAAGGAAGGAACGACAAAGAGAAGGAAAGAAGGAAGGAAGAAAAAGAGAAGGAAAGAAGGGAGGGAGCAAAGGAATTACAAAAAGAGAAGGAAAGAAGGGAGGGAGAGAAGGAACGACAAAAAAAGAAGAAAGGGAGGAAAAGAGAAAGAAGGAAGGGAGGGAGGGAAGGAGGAAAGGAACGACAAAAAGAGAAGGAAAGAAAGGAGGGAGGGAAAGAAGGAATGACAAAAAGAGAAAAGAAGAAAGGGAGGAAAAGGGAGGGAGGAAAAGAAGGAACGGCAAAAAGAAGGAAAGAAGGGAGGGAGGGAAGGAATGACAAAAAGAGAAGGAAAGAAGGAAGGGTGGAAAAGAGAAGGAAAGAAGGGAGGGAGGAAGGGCGGGAGGGAACGAATGAAAGGAGGAAAAAAGAAAGGAAGAAAGGAAAAGTAGGTAAATAGGCAGGCAGGAAGGACAAAGAAGGAAGAAAGGAAGGAAAGGAGAAGGAAGATGGAGGGAGCACATTGGAAGGAAGAAAGGAAAGAAAGAAAGGAGAAAGAAGTAAGGGAGCGTGAGAGGGAAGACAAAGAAGGAAGCAAGGAAAGATGGAAGGAAGGAGAAGGGAGGGAGAAGGGAGGGAGGGAGGAAAAGTGAGGGAAGGTAGGTAGGAGGGAGGGAAAAGAAAGGAAGAAAGGAAAGAAATAAATAAGGAAGGGAGGGAGGGAGGACAAAGGAAGAAAGGAAAGAATGAAGGAAGAAAGAAAGGAAAAGAGTGGTAGAGAAGAAGGGGAAAAGGGAGGAAGGGAAAATAAGACAAATCAAGCAGAGCTAGAAGAGGTGATTGTATATATACAGAAAGCCAATTCCTCCTCCCTTCCAGCCCTGATGCCATAACCTAGTTGGGTCACAAGACGTCTCAGTTTCGTACCCTTTTATTACCTGGCTATTTCGGGGGGGGGGGTATCAACACCTCCCCCCCTCCCCCTGTTGCCTACCTGTAGGGGGGGCCTCACCTTCTCACCCCGGATGCCAGAGAATTTTTGGACAGCCCTTCCACGGAGAACGCGCCCCCCTCGGCCACGGGGAGTGGGTTGTTTTCGGAGTCCAGAAGCATCTCGGCATCTACAAAGAGAGGAGAACAACTTAATTCCTCCTCCTACAGGAAGTCCTCAAGTTACGACCACGCAGGAGCCCCAGAATTTATGTCGCTAAGCGAGACATTGGCTAAGGCAGTTTTGCCCCTTTTTACGGCCTGTCGGGGGCAGCCCAGCCATTGTGTGAATCCCTGGAGTTTTTTGGTGAATCCGTCTTCCCCGTTGCTTATCGGAAAGTTGCAAAAGGGGATCGCGTGATCCCCAGGAGGATGCAACCGTCATAAATATGAATCAGTTGAAGAGCCAGTCTGAATTAGGATCATGCGACTGTGGGGATGGTCGTAAGTGTGTGAATAACGGTCCTGAGCCGCTGTTTTCAGGGCCGCGGTCACTAAATGAAGAATGGTGAGTCATGGCAGTAGCCCACATTTAGAGCATACGATTGCGACGACGGTTGTAAGTGTGAGGAATTCCCCAGAATCCCTTATTTGTGACCTCCATAACTTCAAACAGTCGCTAAATGAAAGGTGCTCACTCAAAGAGTGACTTGTAAATGGCAGTTACCCAAATTTGGAGCATGCGACTCCGGCGACGGTTGTAAGTACGAGGACTTTTCTCAATTTCTTTTTACAGCCGTCGCAGGTCCAAACGGTTGCTAAGCGAAAACAGAGAGACTTCAGCCTAGGGCGTGAGGGAAGTCAGGAGGACCAAATTTCTTCAGCTTCTAAGGAGATGGGCCAGAGTGGATGATGGGTTTCGGAACTGCTGCAGGCCCGCAGGAGGTATAGGTAGTCCTGAACTTAGAACCATTCGTTTAGCGACCGCCCACAGACACAATGGCGCTAAAAAAAAAAGGGTTTCTCACGCTAACGGTTGTCCCCGCGGTCAAAATTTCAACACTCGGCAAGTGACTCGTATTTACGATGGTTGCGGGTCACACAATCCCCCACTTTGTGACTGTCTAATGACCGAGGTCAACAAGGAAACTGGATTCGGTTAATGACCGTGCAACTCGTTTGTCAAGCGAAGCGATTCACTTAATGACGGCGGGAAGATTTTTGCCCGTAACGATGGGCCACAGCCTCTAGGAAGGGTGAAATGGATGAAGAGTTTGGGAAATTGTTGCAGGTCTGCTACTCCACCACTCACGATGCTTCATTTACCGACTGTCCAAAGTTAGAACGGCCAGGACAAAAAGGGCCATTTTTCACACTTACGACCATTGCAAAAGCATCAAAATTCGGACACTTGGCCGACGATTCGTCTTTATTTTCTCAACGTCCCGGGGGGGGACAGCCTACCACTCACCCACGCAGGGGGGGGGGGGGTGTTGCCGCGATCGCCTTTTGCGACTGTACAACGAGGAATGTCAAGGGAGAGGGAAGGGCAGCGAAAGCTTAATTAGATTACATGGGGCTAGATTGCAAGCTGATGTTTGTTTGAGTTGCTATATCAATATAAGGTTAAGAAAGTTTGGTCGGAGAATCTTCAGGAAAGTGGAGTAAATATGGGAGGAGCAATGAATGTGGATAAAATATATATGTGGATATGGATAAAGGCAGGGTGGAAGGTAAAAAAAATTACATGTGGAGGTGGGTAAGGATAGAAAGGGAGGTGTTGGAAATGAAAAATGAAAGAAGTACTTGAGTTTAATGGTTTTATAGAAAGGTTCGGATATTCGGATAAAAAAGAGATAAATTAAAGGTTTGAATAGATAGACAAGGCAATGA